TTTAATTTTTTTAATTTCTCGCAAGATTGTAGTTTGTGCCCTCTCAAGCATAGTTCGCATGACGTATGATTGTTCTGTTCGGATGTGAACGATTGCGTTTTGTACAAGCTTCTGTTTAATTTGTTTTTGTTACTAGCTTGGGGTCTATTGAAGCTTCTATTAAAGTCGTTTTGATAGTTTTGGGTTTTAATAATTTTTGTGTCTACCCTTTCAGCGATTTCATACTGGATAGTTAGAAAATCTTTCATTTGTTGCCACGTTAGGCATTTCTTTCGTCATGAGAGCGATTGCTCACACAAAAGTAACGATTTTTCTGTTAAAGTGGCGGTGCATATATAATATTTACCAGTATTGGGTCCCAGCTGTCTGTGGGAATATTTTGTGTCGATAGAACCGACAAACAATTTGAAACAGTGGATAGTAGTTTAACAAATTCTTCACACATCTCGATTTTAGAGCTTCCCAAGCCAAATTAAAATTGTCGTTATTTAGTACGAACTGTTTTACTATTGCGCCTGCTTGACCTTTAGTTTTGTATCGGAGGTGATAAAATTTTTGCGCTTTTGATAATTTTGGATGGTTGATGTAAACATGTCCCGGAAGGACGGCCATTCTTCATAACCTCCATGAAATGTTTCTGTGTCACATGCGGGCACCTCGAGTTGGATGCCTGAACTTGCCTCTTGATTTTTTCAATTCCAATAACGATTCAGAGAGGTGTAGTTTGACTTTTGTCGCCATTAACCATTTTGTTATGTTATTGATATAATGTTTCAATGAATTATAAATATATATATTATAAATATTTTATTTTGAATATATTGCTTTATTAAATTTAATTGATAAAAATCGCACTTTTTTTTTTGTACGCAATCCTGCTTGTTTGATACAAGGGGTATTGCGGGATGTATGCCAATGTGGACTTTGAAAATATGTGTATTTTTGTTTTTAATAAATTATTTATTATGTTTTATTTTTTAATATCTAGTAGTGTTAATTTTACCACAACGTTTATTGTTTTATTTTTGACCCAATGTATATACGGTATATAAGCATAGGCATAGATTATATGCCGTATATATAAATATGTATGTTCGCACTGCGAAGAGAGCGCTAAAGCGAAGTGAATAATGTGCAGGTATTATCTCTATGCAATTATGTTTATATGTTATTATATGTACTTATGTTAAAGTAAGTATAGATATACAAGGTACAATTCAAAAGTTGCAGGACTTTTTAAACAACGCGGCTTCTAGCGGCGCTTTCTGTCTGAATTTGTTATCCCTCAATTGTGTATTCTTCAGTGTTGTCGTATAAAATTTATATAACAGCTGAGATATCGCGCTACATATGACATTACAATGAGCATCGAACAAAGAGCCAACATTAAGTTTTGTTTTAAACTTAGTAAAACTTTTACCAAAACTCAGCAAATGATGAAACAAGTTTATGGCGATGATTGTCTATCCCGTAGCCGTATTCACGAGTGGCTTAAACGTTTTCAAGAAGGACGGGAGGACTTGGAAGACGACGAACGTTCGTTGCGTGAATTCACTAAAAAACAGCCGAAATCATCGTTTAAATATATGGAGTCGGAATTATCAATATCCGCAGCGTCGATTTATCGTATTTTGACAGAAAATTCGGGCCTCAGAAAGGTTTGTGCTCGATTTGTCCCGCACACTCTGAAACAACACGAAAAAGACCTCAGAATCAGACAGATTTTTTGACCAAAAATCGCGTTCAAATAATCAACCATTCACCCTATTCGCCTGATATGGCACCCTGCGATTTTTATTTGTTCGGAAAACTACATTTGGCCATGAAAGGAAACCGCTATGCTGACGTTAATGCCATCCCCAACGCTATATCGGCAAATGTTCTAAAAAAAGTCATTCGATAACCTTCTTGAACGTGCAAAACGTTGTATTCAGGCGGAAGGAGACTATTTTGAAGGCGACCAATAAATTTTTTAAAAATAACAAATAATATTCGTTTTTTAATAAAAGTCCTAAAACTTTTGAATTGCAGAGAATTTTAATGAACAGAGAAGGAGCAAATGTTAAATGAAATCTTTTTGCGTACTAATTTGTAATTCCAGATGAGGGAACATCGAAAAATATAACTTCGGAAAAGAAAATACACCACACAATATGCGAAACGCTATAAATAGACACAACGAATATTCCTAAATGAAAAATCGTTGCACATACCTATTTAGATTTATGTTTTCAATTTCTATAATATGACACATACATAATTATGAAAAGCCTCCTGAATT